AGGATCATTGCAGAACTACCAGTCACTTGCTAATTCGTCCAGTCTTGACGGTTAGGAACTGGAGATAGCTAACTGATCCAGTTTCTTTGATAGCTACCTATGCGTCAATGGGCACTTGACTGCAGAACTTGATCAGCGTGCATCGAAAATAAACTATGAAGTTTTGAAGCTAAATCCCTGCTTCCAGAGGGGGTTTTTCTCGGCCTGAAGGGCCGTGAAAACGGACCACAGTGTGGGCTGTACTTTTCCATGGACACGTTGGTCTAGAAAATTAAGGCATTTCCAATCATCATTGTATGCTTGGAACTGCTGGTGTAGGATGACAACCGAATCTACGCAATAAACATGTGTACAGACAAGTGGTATGTGATGTATTTCGAGTAAAAAACAGCACTGATTCAATTGACTGCACATAGCAATTTTTACCCATGCCTGTTCACTGGTTACTGAAGACAGCTTTTTCTCTTGACCCGATTCTGATTGGTGCAAGGCTTTAGGTATGGGAGATGAAGTCACTGAGAGCTAAACTGAATACCGTTGGTCCGTCCTACCTTCCAGACTGGAGTACACGCAACTGACTCTATGTTTGGCTCGAGACTTTACAGGACGTGTCTGCCCAACATGGAGCGCCATTACGGAATCAGTCGTTTGTACTCCTACGCTGGTGGAGTTCAGAGCCCGAGTTGAGCACCTCACGTGATTCATTGCTTATTACCAATTACGGGTGTCTGCTGCAGAGTTCACTACAGGTCGGATCACACAAGACGTCTCACATCTTTCACCTCATGTGTTCACCAGGTGACACCACTTATATATACGTTCCCCTTGTCGTCATCCTTAAGGATTTACAGTTTCAGTTTACATAGTTTGTTGGGTCCACCGGTGTAAAAATACTTTTGCTGACATCTTTTGCATATTTTGCAATATTCACCATGAGCATCCTACGGGATCTGTTAAGCACTAGCCATTTTGTATGTATGTAATTAACACTTGGCCACTAAACAACTAGCAGAGTGCCGCAACAGATGAGTACAAAGAACAAAAAGGAGGAAAAGAAACTGTCAGCGAAAAGGTTAAGATGGTTCATGTATTGCGTGGGCATTGAGCTTTTCGGTTGCCCATGCCAAGGTAACTGACATTTAGTTTGAAACCCACCGTTACATCTAGAAGTTACATCTATACTTGTTCGTGCAAGCAGAGGAACTGACATCTAAAACGGTTGTGCGATGCTTATCACGATAATACTCACTCAACCAATCCAATTAAATGTGAACGGGGCTCAGTTGTTTGTGTGGGCAGTGTGCTTCCCGATTGCCCAGGCCGAGGAAGACGGTTGACTTAAGTGACCCCACCCTGAGCCCTTGGTCACAAAGACCTGACCGGAAAAACAGCGGGGCGATTCACGCAGGTTTCTGAATACGAAGACCCTTGACATCCGAGTGACTCATTCGCCTTCTTCGTGTTCGGTTGCAGTCCACACGGAAGCCGGTGATCAGCAAGGTTGTTCATCCGCCGTCCGATAGGTACTTACCTCTGGTTACAGAAGTGAGTGGTCAGTGACCATGTAGCCGGTCACGTTGACTTTGACACAGCGCCGTACGAGCTCTTGTAGCATTTGTTGGCGAACCAAAGTGGCCAGCCCAGAACTCCCCACGCCATGAGACGCTGCCGGTGATTGTCCGTGACGGCTTATTCATGGCGCCTGCAAAGCAGACGATACTTATTCACAGTTACCTCTACAAGTAAGTCATTCCCCAAATCCTTAATTTGGGGACGCGCCTGATAGCGTACAGCTCCGCTACTTTACGCTTGTTATACAATTGTTCTATTGTTCCGTCAGTGTCGTATCTGTCGTCATCTCCTAGTCGGAATGATTGTTTAAAAAGGCGTCTGAATTATCTGCGGTATAATGGTTGCTTTTGATGCGAAGCAGTGAAAATCCCAACGAGTCTTCTTCATCAAAGTCACCTTATCTCACCATGTTAGCCAGCTCTGTGAACCTAGATCTTAAGATATGGGTTAGTGTTTAACTCCAAATGTTTGGTTAGGGCGTTGGGGTTTCATAGCAGTTCTCTTCTTTCCCGCTGTCATGGATTTCCATCAACAAGGTCACCATGGTTATATTACAGCAAACTATATACGGGTTACTGATGTAGTGCTGGTGAAAGTGTTGAATTTTTGTGATGACACCCTTGCGTTAATCAGGTGGTTGGAACCATTTATGCTTAGCCTTCCCACGGTCGTACGTCAATATCACAGTCATAAGTTGCACAATCCTGTGGCTTCACGAAATGCTCTTATTTCTACTGATTACTTACCACGGCTTGCTGTGTACTGATGTTTGGTGTGGAAGTGGCTACATGCAAGATTCCAGATAGTTGCACTGGAGAAGGGAGCGCGACAAATAATGAGTGCCAACGGAGGTTTCGATCAGTGGATCGTATTTGCTCTAGTTGATGTGGAGTGCGCAGCAACAAGAAGACAAAGCTGGCGCGTTGTTATCTATGCATAAACGGGGAAATTCCTCGGAAATTCCTTGCACTTAATTACACTACGGGAGCAAAGCATGCAGTCAATCCCTCCGTTAGGCGTTAGGTCCCGTGGCGGCGCTGTACGCTATCAGGCGCATCCCCAAGTTTCGGATTGAAGAATGCCTTACTTGTGGAGGTAACTGTGAATAAGTATCGTCTGCTTTGCAGGCGCCATGAATAAGCCGTCACGGACAATCACCGGCAGCATCTCATGGCGTGGGGAGTTCTGGGCTGGCCACTTTTGTTCGCCATCAAATGCTACAAGAGCTCGTACGGCGCTGTGTCAAAGTCAACGTGACCGGCTACATGGTTACTGACCACTCACTTCTGTAACCAGAGGTAAGTACCTATCGGACGGCGGATGAACAACCTTGCTGGTTACCGGCATCTCAGTGGACTGCTTCTGAACACAAAGAAGGCGAATGAGCTACCCGGATGTCAACGGGCTCCGTCAGTGGCCCTGCTGCCTTGCGGATTAGGTCTTTATGACCAAGGGCTCAGGGTGGGGTCCCTTAAGTCAACCCACTTTCTCCGCCTGGGCAACCGGGGAGATCCCAACCCACACAACACATTAACCTTCTAAACTTTCCAAGCCCTTGTAATGACTGTACCTTTTTACCCTTTTTGGAGTTGTTAAGTAAGTGTTTGACATTGCCAATTGTATATTGGTCAAGTGTTGAATAATAGTTATTTTATTATGCACCAGGTATACCAAATCGGGTTTAGTGTTGCAGTTAGTTGACTAGGATCGCACACTGACAGCGTCAGAGCTTCGATGGTCCTGTCGATAAGGAGTGAAGAAGCCGAAGGTAAGCGGTCCACTGAGGCACCGCACGGTGACAGTAAACATTTGACAGGACCATGCATTTTGGGTGGGTTGGGTCGAATGTGAAATTATGTGATTACATGCACGCAAGCACACATTGGGTTACTCTCGAGTAGAAGGAGTTTAGTTGTACATTTTAAGGTATTCGCCCCAGCACCTCCCAAGCTACATAGCACAACTCACATCCCGATGGGTTTTGTGTTATTTTGCTTGTGAGCTGTTCAAACGATTACATCAAAAATTACACAATGGGTTGTTGAAAAAGTCAGCCTAGGCAGTTTGGATTTTGTTCATAGATGTATGATAGTGACCATAGTGTCATACGTGGTAGTGATAAAACTGACACAATATTCGCACGCCCCATGATGATATTGCCAAATCAAGCAATCGAAATGTCTATTAGTATAATGAAGATGTGATGGATTTCTACCTATAGCATTTAGCTTTCGCTATATATATATATATATATATATGTCTATCACAGGAGTATTAGCGGGAGCTAAATGCTATAGGCAGGAATTCATCACATCTACATTATGCTAATAAACATTATGTTGCTAGGTTTGGCAATGTCATTATGGGGCGTGAAAATATTGTGTCAGTTTTATCACGAGCATGTATGACCATATGGTCACCATCGTGTTTTGCGGCGTCCGGTTCCGGATTTGCCTGTCACTGTGGCCAGCCATAGGACGCCCGCGCCTACAGAAGAATCAAGGTTGGCTTGCGTTGCACCACCCACAGTTCCAACCACACACCCCATATCCAGTGTAAACCCGAAGGAATAAGACCGGGAGGCATGCAGATGGGAGCCACGTTTCATCAACTGAGCCGGCCCACACTCCTTCAGAGACAAACACAAGCACGCTGTATTTGGGAATCAAGAGAATACAAGGCGGTGGCTGTACCGTAGTCCGTTCCACACTGAGTGCATGGAACCACTCTTTGAGCCTAGCAGGGCCACAAGGACCGTGCACCCAGTCCCCTCCAGCAACGACAAGCTGTTTCCTGGAGCCAGTATGGACGAGGTAGTGGGTAATAGAGAGGTAGGCACATTGTCAACATGCACATCAAGTGCAACCACACCGGGGATATCAAGCAACAGCCAATCACTTTAGAGAAACATACCAATGAAGGTAATTCGAGTAATGCATAAGGAAACGGTGACATAAAGCTTAACTTATTGAGCATATGAAATAAATTGTTTACAAAAGAATCGGAGATAAGTTCAAGAGGTCAGAAAGTGTATCTTGCAGAAATGCCACAAACACGAAAATGCTATCGTAATTAACTACAACTGGCTTAAGCGACGTGTGCAAGTTTATAGAAGAGCGTACAGGTAGACATTTATATGAGAAAGAAAAGCATTAGGACAAGAGTGAAAACCCACCACATCCATATATATATATATATATATATATATATATATATATAATGCACACAACAGCGCAGTCGTGTGTTCTACGCCATATCCCTTAGTCCCGAGGCTGCACCAAGATACTTCCTTTCTCCCTATTTATCTTGTGGGTGGTCTACCAGCGCAGCGGTCAGTGTAAATTCGACAGTATGATACAGTACTATGATAGATACACTGATTACTGTGAGGATTTACTCAACAGCAAATTTGCAAAAGTCTTGCTTACTTGTTAAGGTTGCTGCGAATTTCCGCCACTGCAGCGAGAGCATGAAGCTTGAAGAACAACGTTAATACTGGGGTCCTGTGAGCAGAGAGCACCACGGAGAGTTTTGAGCATACATCGGAGTAAACTGTGACTTCACCGCATAACACCATCACCGATTGAGCACAATAGTTAGACAAACTGTCTGCTGCTTGTTCGATTGCTGTTGGCTGTAGGGAATCGCAAGAGACCTTCAGTTCTTGCAACTCAAGTGCTTCTGACTCAGTGGTTAGTTTGGAATAGCTTAACGCAAGGTCGCTTTTCGACAAGTGACATCGAGACACGTGTTTGCCGGATCTCCTTCGATTTATGACGGCAGGGCATAATGCAGCGCCCCATAAATGGATTCGTCGATAACTTCCAGCTTCAGCGGTAAGGGTTTGCTGGGAAATGTGTATCCCACTGAAAGGGTCGAAAAATGTGCGCGCTCTTTGTAGATGACGAGCGCCAACGCGTTTTTGTACCACTGTCGCGTGCTGTTTTGAACGGCACTCGGCCAAGATAGAGTTCTTCTGCACCTCATGAAAAATGCATGCATCCATTAAACAAAAGACCGAAATAATTGAATATTCAGTGCTAAACAGACGACATGTGAAGGTGATTACACAAAAATATTGCAACCATGGTATACAACTGCCTTAGGCTACCTAATTGACACTCGTTTGCATGTCGTGTCTCAGTAACTTTTGGCGTTTGGCCACTTTACAAGGTAGGCCGTCCACACATAGTTTTCTGTAAATTTTGAATCCAGTGACTGATTGGTCGATTCTTTCTGCGAAAGTCTATGAAAGGCACGTTGTTACGTTTCACGCCTAACGATGACCGAAGTGGTACATCAGACTCCCGCTGTCAAGTAGTCTGTTACAATACAGCTTGTGTGTGAGGTATCCATGAGGATTGGCATGCTGTAGGGAGGAATATTGGAGTGCTCTCCATGTGATCGAAGAATGTAACACGATGCCTCAGAAAACAGCTATTAGTTGTAGAGTTGTAACTAATAGGTAAAGCAGTAGAGCTGCACTTTCCGACAGACATGAAGTAAAGTCTAAACCATGCCCAAAGTGCTGCGTTTCGGAGCCTATGATTTGGGGTCCATATGTACACTTCTTGACGTTAGCCCAAGTCAAACTGTTCACGAAAACTAAAGTCAGCGAACGGTCACGAATGAGTACAAGCACTACACGGTGTTTTCAAAACGGGACAGAACTTTTGGGATAGCGAGGCAGCCGGCAGTGGCAGCGAGCTGCAGCTACTGATTGCTTGTGTAGGCTAGTTTAGACAACGAAATGCCATTTGCCGCATTTCACCTTGACTGTTAGTTGGCGAGCTACAGCCACCGAAGTGAGCACCTCCACAAGCTGTTCATCGGACTAGTGCCAAAAAGACAGTGAAAGTGCTTGAACGAGGCGTGTGTGTGCAATTTTGCTACCAACTTAGCAAAAGTTTTACAGACATTTGATTTGCTTGGCCAAGCATACGAGGAGGACTGGATGAGTCGCACGCAGTTCTATGATTGGTTTAAGTGTTTTGAGCAAATCTGGACGACCATGTCGGCAGAGCTTTTGCTTTGAACCCTGGAAAGCGTCGTTTACCTGTTAGAGAATTTGCTGACGAAGTGGGCATCAGCTAGGATAATGACATCAAATTTTGTGTGATAAAGATGACATGCGTCGCGTTAGTGCGAAACTTCTGCCGCGTTTGTCGACTGACGATCACAAACATAACCGTGTTGAAATCAGCCAGGAACTACTTAGAAGTGCTAATGATAATGAAAACTTCCTTAAGAACACCATAACAGGCGATGAGACGTGGGTTTATGGCTACGATATTGAAAGGAAAGTGCAGTCATCGCAGTGGATGGGGAAAGGTTGTCTGAATAGAGATGGCGAGTAGCAAATCCAACCACACAGCAGGTGCGTCAAATGCCACTTGGAACTCTTTACGGCTGCGCTAAGCGTTGCTCACGGATTTAGAGTCATAGTGGTCAAGGCGTCAGTCTTTGAACACTAGGCCTGGAAGCCCACCCCAACTCAGGCTTTCTCCATCTGATGAGCCCACACGAGGACGAAACCAGTTATGGGGTGTCAGTTTTGGGAGGTGAAACACCAAACCACCGATTCGGATACGGTCCTTGTGATCGTAATGACCGAGGACTACTTCAAAGAGGACCGAAGTCTGAATAGAGAATGCGAGTCGCAATTCAACCGCATAGCGGGTACACCAAATGCCGCTTGGAAAGGTTGTCCTTGTCCAAAAAAGCATGCGTGGGTCAGTCAAACATCAGAGTGATTTCGTGTTTTTTGACTGAAAAGAAATTGTTCATCAGCAATTTGTATTACATGGTCCGACGGTAAACAACGAAGTCTAGCACGTTTGAGGGATGCTGTGCGCAGGAAGTGCCCTGAATGGGGGAATACCAGACTTGGATGTTGCATCATGACAACGCGCTGGCTCGCTCATCGCTCCTTGTCCGCAGCTGTCTAGCAAAACATCACGTTCCGCCATGCCCCATGCATCTTATTCTCCTGAACCAGCTCCAGGAGACATTTTCCTGTTTCCCAGTTAAAGCCACCTTGAAAGGAAGTTGCTTCCAAACCACGGAGGAGATTCAGGACAATGCGAAAAGATACCTGTGCGCCATCCTAGAAAGTGCTTTGCAGGAGGCTTTCCAAAAATGGAAGCACAGTATGGAACGGTGTACTGCCAGTCGAGGGACTACTAGGTGTGAGAAAGTCGGCCGGTGGCCGAGTGGTCTGTACGTTTGCTTTGCAACCATAAGGTCACCGGATCGAATCCGCGTACGGGTGGGCGTCCTCGCGGTATACTCAGCCCGCGCGCGACTGGTGGTAGTCGCGCGGCAGCGAAGTGCTGTTAGGGCTTACAGCTGACGCGTTATGCGTGAGAAAGTGCATAAAATATTGTGCAATGAGCGATAAGGACGTTATCGTAAAAGTTCGGTTTCATTTTGAACACACTTTGTAGTTTTATTGAATTATTTACTTATGTTTCAGGGTAACCTTGGCTCATGATTGGGTAAACACAACGTCAGATCATGTGCAGAATACCCCTCCGATACGGAAGCCTACGCGTACCGCAACTGGGAACTGGAATCCTTATGGTATGTCACAAGCATAGTTTCGCACCGCTTTCATAGGCGTGTTGAACACACCACTGACTCGTCTGAATAGGACGGTCCAGAGCAGTGGTTCGCAACATTGTTGAGGCTATTACCCACAAAGCGGGCTTAAGTCTACATCTATGCATTTAAATATGGTGTGTTGAAACAAATAAGTGGGAGTTCATTGCAGCAATTTACGGGTCGGACGACCTGCCACTCACATGGTAATTCCCCAGACGACTGTTTCATCCGACTACGATTTTGCAGTGGCACGAGTCTCCCGGCTACATCAGGAGGCGAATTCTACTCAAAAGCCTGAAGAAACTTTTGAATCAAAAGCGAAACGTCCTGCACTTAACAAATATATTAGCGGGTCGTCCACAAAGCCTTCTGAAGTGTTGACTTCCCAATCACTCCTGAGTCTATTCCAATGTATAGAGGAAAGATGTTGCTTGTTACAGTAATCCTGAGGCGCTTATTGATAGGGATATGCGAACTGGCTGGGTGGTCACAAACACCACCAATAGGAAAGAAACCTGTGTATTTTATCTGCCATTCAGGGAGACAACCATTCCGAACACGTCTACAACCATTAAACCCTGCCTTCAATAACACCTATGGTATATTTCTGTCGCTCCTCCAAAAAGACACCGGACTAAGTTCTATTATTCTCCGATTGACACAACAATATCAAGGTGTGTATAGTGAGTAATCCATTTCGCTTTCCATTGGAATCTACTCTGCGGCGAACTGGTTAATATGATATCTGAACAACCAGGAAAACCAGACTTCCAATTGATGGTGATTGCATGCAAAACCAAATGTTCCTGCAGGCTCAATTGAATTTCCGCAATAATTCAATCCGTCCTACGGAGTTGTCGACGATGGCGCGGCGCACTTACGCAGCATCTTCATTCCCCCACATGCTATGCCTCCGACTGAAGGACGACTTATCTGTGGGTGGCAGCTCCTGCTGCGTGTAGCATTTAACCTATTTCTGCGGATGTGACTCACCACTTAATAAAGTCACTGCGCCAACCACGCATTGGCAAGTTGACCGATACCACATTTCACAACTTCTGCGCATGTATTCGCTCTCATACGACCACACTTACATGTTTGAGCAGTAACATGACATTATTGTTAAAAGTTCTCCACAGCTTTTTTCTCATGCTTCACTCACCTGACCCGCAGTGTGTACACAATCTCATCGGACCAGTTCCTCACCAACATACGCCACTCCAATGATCTCTGTAATTCTTTACATCTCGCATTCTGTGAGGCTGGACTTAATTCAATCTTTGGGCCATGTGGCCCCACTCTACTGACGACATCTGTACTATTCCAGCTCTTGGTCCTGCTAATCACGCTATCGTGTAAAATATTACGTAATGCTGAGCATGCGCAAAAGACGTGCCTCGCTTTGTCGAGAATAAAATATTAATTATTTATATTTATTCCTGTGAGACAAGTTACATTGGCCTAACTACGAGACGTTTGTCTGAAGGCGCTAGCGTGGCTAAGCCCGGTATTGAATAAGGCATGCACCAACACAATAGCCGATTCACTAGCGAATCATCCCACCGTCATCGCATAAGTAGTTCAACAAATCTATCGGGGGAGAGATGTACACTCCAAACCTATCAGATGCCGCATGCTTACATTGCCGAAGGCGACTGCAATTCACCTCAACACAACGGGGGGTTCTGTGTGCATAGACAGTTTGCTAAGGCTTCGGTCTGTCTGTGGCCAACTGTCGTCCGGACAACCTCAGCGTGAACTAATCACACCCCTTATGGTTATATGGATGAATTACGTTGCTAGACACATATGTCAAGGGCTTCTCATCTTGCCAATATAAAATGTGTTGTATTTGACCTGATGATGGATAGCCGAAAATGGGTTTGTCTGTTAGACCATCTTTTCTGAGTGAGAAAGGGAATTATTCGGCATATGAAATGAGCCAAAGACTCTAGATAAGACACTTTAATTCCGGTGGAGCTTCAAAGACAATGCAATTTCACTAGCCACAGATTAGATTATTTCCACCTTGCTTTTCGTTCATGGAATCATATCTTCCTCAGTTTGACACTAATTTGGACATCAACTTAGTGTGTCGTATCACTTTAACGAAACCCACATTTCGCCTTTCCAGTCAGTCCCTTCTCAATGATTTCACAATTGAGTAACCCCAATTAAATTGAAGAGACTAACCATCCAACTGCTTTCATTTGCAACAGATGTAGGGAGTATACCTTGCGCTACTGCCCTACCGTCGCTGTCAACGACGTTGGCAGTAAAATTCAGTGCGACTATGCCAGCACTGTAATTCGGTCATAGAACAAATGCAGGGGCGTTGTATATAGCTTTTGACCACTCGTATTACTTAGTCAACCTATA